GTGAAATATCGTGATTGACCTTCGCATGGGATGGCCACTGCAAGAATTAGTACGGCTACAAGCACCTTAGTGTGATAGCAAACTAATGGAACATAAAACATTTAACGTGAAAACGTATTTGATGTACGCGTATTACAAATATGAATATCAGTTGTATTTGTCCGTTCTTAAAGTATGTAAGAAAAACCTCTACTGAATAAGAAGTGACTGACTTCCATTTTTCATAATTTATAAATATATTATCTCTCCTATGTGTCTTCACTTCCGCTAAGAAGTAATGTTAGCTGTTTTCTCAGCTTCGCCTAATATTTGAACTGGAATATAATCAGTATCTTCCATTTAAATGCCGTTTTCTTATCCTCTAAGTAACTATGGTGACATAAGTACATAGTGCAAGACCCACTAAAATGGAACTTGTTCAAAACTTCGCTTCGTTCATAACGAATATTTTATTATATTTATAAATTATATATATTATATATTATAAAATATATTATTAATATGAAATATTACTGGTTGATGCATTACTTTGTACAATGTACAATTCAATAAAAAATTAAAACTATTTAATTTGTAGTATTTTTCGATGTAATTATAAATCTTGTATTATTACTTACTTATACATATATGTTTCAATTTTTTTATGTTAAATTGAAACATTAAAAAATATTTTCAAAATATTTTTAAAAAATACAATATGAATTTATAGGATTTTCTTTACATTTCAGCATCGAAATTGGAGGGGGGAGATAGTAGGAGTAGGTAATCCAAATTAATCTAGGCTCAATGGCCCCCAATGCTGTAAAAACGGCCCTGAGGATCGTGGCACAATTCTGGCTCCAAATTCGAATTCAGCGCATCGCTATACATAGAGATACATGTGTCAAGTCTTTGAATCCGACAACAACCCCTGAAAACAAATAATAATAATAATAATAATAATAATAATAATAATACAATTTCACGATCCTTTTTGCGATTAAAAAAAATTGGAAGTGGTGGCTTAATTCTGCCTTCATATTTGGATTCAGCGCGTCGAAATACATAGAGAAGCATTTGTCAAGTCTTTAGATCTGACAAAATTGTTTGTGTGCCTGTGTAATCATTAAAACGAATAAAATCGTATCGCAGCATGAGCTGAACGTCATTCTAGATAAGATGTAATACGACACATTCAACCAACACCTTTTGAATGAAATACTATCTTAATTTACCTAACACACTCAACTCATAGTCGGGCATTTGTATAGTATCCCTAGGATGGCGAAATATAATAACTAGTGGGCTGATTTTGATCACCTAAAAGAGCGCTAAATATGATAAATAAAATACTCCTAACATATTTTTAAATGTCCTAAAAGCAAAGAAAAAATATGTAAATGTTTTTATCAAAACAAATTCAGATGCGTATCTCAAGCATTTGTACTTGTTACTACTGTAAACGTAGTGGCAGATCGAAGGGCGCATGCACCTCCCCCAGGTCTATAGAAGAAAAGTAAAAAGGCAAAAGTGCAGAAAAAATTAAATTAAAAATGCAAGAAAAAATTGTAGAAACGTCTAAAATGCATCGATAAAGTAACCCCGCGTTCTGTCCTTAGCCTTTTAGTTACGAATAGGAATCCTGATTCTCGCTGTATTTTAGCCCAGTCGTATGTATGGAGAATATATTCGACTGTTCTTCAGAAGCGTGTGACAGCTCATACTCTCTCTTTCTTACTCCGCGACAAGCGGCACCACTGTGACTTCCACGTATTGGAATGTCGACGCAACCGGAAACAGTGTTAACAAAGTAAGATCTCTAAGTGCTAACTGAATGATCGTGGGCCTTTATGGCATTTTGCGCAATTAGAATGTGTCTAGAGAAGATGGCATTGATCGCTTACGTGCGCCTGGAGAAGGTGTGGAAATTGGTACTTAAGAAGAGAAACATTTATCTAAAAGAAGAAATAAAGAATCTAATAAAAAGAAAACATAGAACAGGCTTGAGACATATTTTGTGCAATACAGTCGACTTTCTTCAGTCCTGGACAGTAAGCGAATGTTAAATTTTCAAATCGATATCATGTATTCTTATTTAAATTCTATCTGTTCACATCTGTATCATATAATGAAAAAGAGAATACCCTTATTCTTCGTCGTTTTGCAGCTTTAAGTTCAACAATTTTAATAATAAATTATCACTATTTTTACTTTCCCGTATACGTACGTATATGCGCAGAAAAGGGTAAGTTATGCAATGCTACGGAAATTCGATTTCGAGATTTCAACGGAAATACACGTTTTGGGGTCCCCATACACCGAATAAATGTTTGTCGTTTTTTTTTCAAAACGTCTTTCTGTCTGTCCATCCGTCCGTGTGGTGTTTATGAACACTGCAAGCGCCTAAACCATGCGTAAGATTTTTTCAAAATTTTCGACCCCTGTCCATCAGGCTCGAGTCAAAACTATGAGATTTTGAAAAACTTTTTTTAAAATTTGGAGATATTTTACATGAAGCCCCCGGACATTTTCAAACTTTTCTCAGAAACGGCTCCAAAAGTTTTCTGTAAATTTCTTGTAAGAATTGAGTAACATAAACTTATAAAAGTGGCATAGGTCCTATTTTCACGGTTAACTGAATTTTCGAAAATTTCAAAACTAGGATTTTTTTTCGATATCTTCCTAGAACTTCAAAAATGACGATAGAGATTTTTCCTTCAAATATAATTTGTTCTCCATAGTGAGTTCTTTCATTAAGGTCATGTACATTTTTTGAAAATTGTAGTTGTTTTGTACTTATTTAGCGAATATGTTATTTGTTGTCACTAATTATATTAGAGGCTGACTACTCGTGAACACATGTTCAGGATAGAGGAATCATTGCAAAGGAGTGTTCCGGAAGACTTGTCTCCCCGATTTGATTTTATTTTTTGTAATTTTATTCAATTTTACCCAAACAAATCACATTTTGGTGGCATCACATTCCAAAGGAGTATTCCCATTTAGTCCGAGCGGACGTCATTTCAGGAAGAAATTTACACTCTAAAATGTGAAATATTTCTTAAGAACGAATTTATGATGGGAGTCTGCAGGGTCTGCGTCTGGCAGCGTCAGAATTATTTTTGCATTTGCCTCGCTAGTAGATATACATCCGTACCATTAAAGTAGGTTAACAATTTTCCAAAGTTTGTCGTTTGTACATCGATATGTCGAAAATCGGAGTTTGTAATAGTTCACGGCAATTATTGCACGCACCGAGCTGCTAGTGTGACTGGAAATTGTAATTTTCGCGAAATTGTAGTGCGGGCAGGCAGTATTTTAATTTACCTACGGAAACAGAAAGTACATGTGTAGACAAAACGTACAATACTGTAAGCTCATTAAGGGCCTTTTCTCAGAAAAGGGCGCGAAGCAAGGCAAACTTTGAATGTGACTACCCAGAGACGCGTGTGTCCATGCAAGAGAGGACACGGGATGGATCGTGCGGGGAGGGTGTAATGTTATGAAAGACTTGAACTGAGAATATTATAAACACGTACCACCTTAAAGATTTGTTCATTTTATATTTCCAGATGAAAAATACTTACACTTCTAAAACAGAACGCGTCATTTAAATTGTATTAAATGTATTGAACTACTATAGGGTCATACCTACCTTGCCTATTATACACACTAAAGTGATCTAGACCTTGCTTAACACTCCCTCCCCCAAGACGACACTACTCGGCCTAGAAAATAAATATTTTACAATAGTTTCTATATCTGTAATGTCAACAAATTTAATTATTAAACAATTGGGACATTGTTGCAATAGATTTTTCCGCTGTACTACCATGGAATACTGCACCATAATAACAAAGCACGTAAATATCAAGCCTTGATGGTTAAATAAACGCCACATAGATGCATATTTGACAATTTGGTTTACAAATTTTATTGTGGGCATCAAATTGAAAATAATATTTTATTTTGTCCCTCAAACATTTAATGCAATAATTATAGCATTTCCTGTAACAAATTTGAAAGTGTTGCCATATTTTAATATAAAAATGATAATTTGTGGACAATTAAAAAGTGAGGGTGTTTTGTTTTCATTAATAATATACAAAACCACATGCGATTTGAATGCGGTCGTACGTAAAATACGTATCGCTGAAGAGAGAAGAAGGGGTTTGAGGTATCGTTACGCTGCATTACATAAGGGGTGGGAGGTCATAGTTTAGTTTTATGTAATGTGATATTTATTTTTTTAATCTTTCAACATTTGCTGAAATAATGATTTTTATTCAGTCTTCTACTAAAACATTACCTTATTAACAAATTAAATTAAAAATATAATGAATTAAAGAAGTTGAATGAAATAAATTGTTACAATAAATGAAAATATTTTTCATCAATGATATATTGATTGATTCTTTTATATTACGAAGAAAATATTCCAAACTGAACTGTAGTATATTCTAGAATCCAATTAAGATGGCACAGTAGACTCGGAGCCTATGCTTCATCCATGACGTCGTGTGTACGGCTTGTCAGAAAATTTCTCGCCTCTCGTGTCCTTTCATTAAAAAAAAAATACTAATTTTATTGTTATGTGTCCGCATCACCAATTAATTCTCCCGTTAATTATAATAAATTTCAATATGTAACAAAATGTTTACAACTCCTTTCTGCTTAATAATTGACTTTTAATTCTTGTAATTGGGGGGGGGGGCTTGTTGCAAGCGTTACGTAATTATTGGAGGGAGGTTCAAGTGCGTGTTACAAGGGTGAGGGGGTATTCAAAATACTCGAAATTTGCGTTTACGTAATTTATGGACGGTCCCTTTGTACATATTTATGTGTATTAGTACTTTTTTCTCCTTTGAGAACACGAATCTCGCCGAAACAATAAAAATTAGGTAACATGTAAAGTGTGTATAAGAAGAGAAGTTTACGGTCCCCCTTCCCCTCAAGACAGTCGTCTGGATCCGCCCTTGACTGTAACACAACTTACAGTAAAATTACAAAAATATATTAAGTAATATGTTTTTGTCTTCAAAGTTGGCGGTATTCTTCACACTGTACTCACGGAAGTTCTATCGACCGAAGGCAGCATGTCGACGCATCGCATTATGAGCAGATGAGGGTTTTGTGTTATTGTTACTAACAGGTCAGTAATATTTTTTAAAATTAGGCTGCTAGTACTGTATTAAATATGTTGATGATTTTACTAGGCACATTTTGCGTGACATGTTGGAATTGTTGAACATTGTCATTTGTTTTTCGTACTAACAAAGTGTGACCAAATTTACCATGAAGCACTGTGTAACTCTGACTCATTACTTCAATTTGTGGTGGCTTCGTTATTTATTGTAATTGTCAATGAAAGAGGACATCTATTTTTAACTGTGAGTATGAGTATTCTCACCGCATTTAACATAAAGAACTGACTGTTTCGTATGAAGAAAAGATGTTGGTAATGTTTAATTAATTGTGAAGGCGTCAGACATAACCTGTCATACCTTGGGTGTGTCAAATGCGAATATATTTCTTGTTCTCAGTTAATGTCATTGAATGAGTTTAAAAATTATGGAAACGGAGAAGGCTTTACATTTATTTCGATAAGTGTTATAAATCGGATTATTGTTTGTGAATGTAAAATTATTGTTAGGATATTCAAAATTTTAATGTAGCTTAATATTTAGTTGCTGTTGAAAATGTATGCTATCAAGACACCTAGTCTTCGGATCGACGAAGCAGATCTTAAATGTAAGAATGGTTGTGGATTTTATGGTAATTCTGAGTGGGGAGGCTACTGTTCGAAGTGCCATCGTGAACATTTACAACGAGAAAGACAGAGGAAGAACATTGCTCACTCAAGTGCACACATTTCAGAAAGGTAATTAATATATTGTTCATGTCTTTGTAAAAAGTTGATATTAGTAATAATTTTAGTGTTATGTCCATTCTGTGTTTAAACTTGCTTTGTTTAAATCAGAATTTTGAATTTCCAGAGAACATGGAGGTGATAATGCCAAATCATCTGTGGCAGGATTTTCTAAATTTGAAGAAAAGAAACGCCAACACTTAAAAAAGACAAAACTTCTGAAAATATTTAGAAAGTCTTCCAGTGCTAGAGGTATGCAACGACTAGTTTATACTGCATGCATATCTTAAATCTGCTCTCTTATACAAATTGTGTATGAACTACTAATCTATTGCTATCTCTTGTTGTGTAATTGTCAAAGAAAAGTGACGACGTAATTGTAATATAGTTTCCAGTCACCAGAGTAACTTTGATAGAAAACATAACAAATCCAGAGTATGGAGAGGTTTTTTAATTAATGACTTATTTGTGCATTATTATTATTTTTCCTTCTATCGAATGTCTACGACTAATTGGGTGTTTTCAGATAGTGGTCGTCCTGAACAAACTCAAGAGGGTGCAAGTAAAAATCCAGAATTAGAAAAACTTAAGCAGGATCATCAAGAATTATTCTCAAATCTTGGCCATCGTGTTGAACATGATGTTCACAAACATATTTCTTCTTTCTACAAGGCTATTCGTGAATTTGTTGATGTCGAAACTATTGATGAGTTATCCGAGAAAGTACAGAATCTATATCAAGTATTTGCAAAGCGAATGGATGCAAGCTCTAATTACATAAGTAGGAACCATTCAATTTAGAATGTTAGTGAATGTACAAAGCTTAAAAACAATTCACTTGCATTGAGCTTTCTTCTTTAATAGATGTTACTGCTGAGCAGAAGGAAATGCTGTTAGACTATATTGAAAAATATGTGATGACCTGTTTATACAGACTATTGTTTTGTCCTGCTTCAACAAATGATGAAGAGAAGGATCTTCTTATTCAAGACAAGTATGTTTGTATTTTTATGTACTTCTCACTTAGAGTGCAGTTGTTGAGAAAATAATATCTTAACGTAAATTTAATTCAGTGGGTTTTCTAAACATGTGTAGAGTATTTAATTATTTTATTTACATTTAACTAGTATTTACATTCTCCAAATATCTTGTAATTATTGAATTTTTTAAATGTAAATTCATGAGGCCTTGTTAACTTAATAAGTCGTAGTATTATTAATTTCAAAATGCATTAAATAGTAGTGTTTGATTTGTGATGATGATTCAAATGATGATTCCAGTCACATGTATCAGCTAACGTCTCATCGTTGAAAAGCAATACTAGTTTCGTTATGATGTCTTTATCTAACTTCGTTCATTGATTACTGGTGGTTGTAAGAGTAATGTGAGAAAACAAAATAGGCTAGGTAATAATACATATTGAATGTCTGCAAACTGCTGCTAATTAAGGTTGACTCTCAGAAATTGTGGTTTACTAATTAAAAGAAAAGGTCTGTTATAAAATATTTAATAGGAGCATTGTTAATAGGAGAGTTGAAGTAAAAAATCAAAATTTCTCTCAACCTTTGCATGAATTATTGGATTATTTACTTCGTACTACAAATTAATATTAAAGTTAATCCAAAATGTATAATGTAATTTAATTCAAAAAAGTTGTTTTAAAATTGGGAAATTGTCTCAATTTATAATGAAACAACTTTTGTTTAAATTAGGGAGTGGGAAAGTGGATGGTTCAAAAGGAAAGTTCATCTCAACAGGGTGTTAGTAAGTGTAAAATGTTTCAAAGTTGGGGGAGGGATTATTAAATGTTTAATTTTGTGAACATCTTTTTTTAATGGCTCCATTTTTTATTTTTTATTTTTTTATAGGATTCGTCAACTAAACTGGGTAAATGCAAAACATTTGGGTTGCATAATTAATGAAACACAATCTGAAGTTTGGGACCTTGTATATACAGCTATTACTGGTAAGTTAACATTTTATTTATATTATGCGCAATAAAAAGAAAAAACAAACCTTTGTCTCGTTTGGGATCAGCCTTTTGTACCTGATAAAAATGTTACAATAACATGAAATGCATGAAGTAAACAAAATAAATGCAGGAAGAGTAACTTTAAGACTCTTTAGAAGCACAATATTCTGCACTTCTTTTTGATTGATTGAATTTATTTCACACAATTAAAATGTGTTTTGGTTTTCTTTTACTCAAATTATGCAAATTAAAATTAAACTTGTGGTAATTATAAAATAACATGTTTTCATGAAAAAAGGAAGTGTATTTTTATTATTTCCTCAAGTTTAGATTGAATCAAACCAATGGAGTTAATTTATATTTAATGAATTGACTATTTCTATTAAAAAAAAAAAATGAAAGCAGTAAACATTGTTGCATGATTAAATAGAACAGATTTTTCTCTGGAGATGATGCCCATGTTTACATGCTCGTAAATGAACATTTGTTCCTCGTGAATTTAATCCGTTTTAAACAATTACATACCTAATTGAATTACATTGATATATTTTGTACCATTTAATAGATACCTTTATGTATCTTTATAACTGTAGTAGTATTTAATGTCTATACCTAGGAAGTAAAAGTATCTATTGTTTCTTCTAGATGTTCTTGGAATGGATTCTGCAAAGGCCCCTCAGGACAAGTTGAACTGTGTTGTTCGTTGCTGTAGAAATATATTTTTACTTCTTCAACAATCTGTTGGTGGTCCTGCTTCAGCAGACGAATTTCTTCCAGCGCTTATATTCATTGTTTTGAAAGCAAATCCGGCACGTCTGAAGAGTAACATAAATTACATAACAAGATTTTGCAATGCTAGCCGTCTCATGTCAGGGGAAGGAGGTTATTATTTCACTAATCTTGTAAGTGTTGCATACTATTTGAATTTAGTTTGCAGTGTATTTTGTTAAGATGAATTATAGTTTTGATTCAGTAATATGTATCTTTCTCAGTATAATGTATCAGTATAATTCCCCATTCTATTAAATTACTCAGTAGCAATCTCGCTTAGCTCCTTAAAAGTATGTCAGTAATTCTCCACAATTCATGCATTTTCCAGTATAGCATCCCCATCTTTATTGTTTTGTATCCAGGGAACATGGTATAATCAAGAGAACAGAGGATACTTTCAAACAGGATTCAGGATATTTCTGTCCCAAATATGAACCCAGAGCCAGAGAAACTTGTACAGTGCTTCCAACATCTTTCTTTGTATTTTTGATGTTATGTCCTGTTATGACATGTTTCTCTGGATTTGATAGAATGTTGGTTTTTTCTGTCAATTTGCATTGTTTTTTAGTTTTGTGTCCTATTAGCATTTAATTTTGTCTTTGTATTATTATTTGCTATTAAATTAGTTTATTTCATGTATATTTGGATGTTACCTATGTGTAAATTAGTTCCTTTTTCCTGTTACAATGATCTGAAGAAGAAAATATAAATCGGAGCATGTGAAACGTGTGCCTCTTTTTCAATAACACATTTTCCAGCTTACGACTTTCAAAATTTGAAACCCTTGCTAATAACATTCTGCAGTTTCTAAAGACTACATAAAATGAATTTTAAAAATAATTTGAAATTAGCATGATTAAAAAATTAATTTGTAACAGTCTATCCTAAAAGATATGCATTTCAATTACAGTAATGAAATTTACCGTCTTTAAATCCTGAAGAATTAGTTGTAAAATTTAAGGAATATAAAATGAATAATTTCAAATTGTGACTGAAGTAATTGTTCATCATTTCCTCTCTTCAATCACCTGTAGCTTTATGAACATGAAAATGCAATTCAATTACAAAAAGCATATTTGCAAATTAAAATGTCTACAATGATTATCCTAATTTTTAACTTTGAACATTCTGTTGGGTGCAGTTTCAAGTGCAACATAAAGTAAAGGCTTCGTATTGGGAGATGCTTTATTTTTTTGTACTATTTTCACCTAAAAGAGGATTTTATTGTAGTGATTTTTTTTCTTTTTCAGTGTTGTGCTGTTTCATTCCTTGAAAATTTAACTGCTGAATCACTTAACATCCCTGCTGATGAATTTCAACAGTATATGTCTGGAAAAGTAGTTCCGCCGAATACTTGGGAATCAGCTCTTATGATGTGCGAGGTATTACAGAATAATGCTAATTTTCTTTTCTGAGACAATGTGTTGTTGTGTACTTGAAAAAATTAATTTCCGGATAATTTCGGATATAGTTTAAGCTATCTTTTAAAATATAAAATTGTGAACAAACACTTTCATTTTTTATCCATACATTCCACACTAAAGATAAACAATTGATCAATTGAAACAAATCTGAAGCCAACCCTCAAAACTGAAAAATTCCTTGATGAATCCTTTCATTGCATAGTTTTTAATTATTAATTACCAAAAACTGCGTTACTTTCTTTTCAGTTATTTGTTTGAAGATTTTCAGTACTTTTATTGAATAGAATAAAACATGAAACTTCATGTGCTATGTTTGAGATGGGGAAATGTAAAAGCTATAGACATATTGGAATAAACAAATGAAACATAAGTATTTTTTTCTCTTGTGTATGTCTATATTTAATACCGAACAGTACCAGATTATCATTGTTGTCACAGATTACCCCAAAGGGAAAGAAAAACATAATATATGTTTTAGTTGGTATTTCTGTATGCAAAGCAGCGGAATATACAAATATGCACTTCTGATGTCACATTTAGAAAGTGGCTTTGCAATCATTGTTTCAAGAGATTGTTATAACTTTGGTGCAATATAGTTCTGGTCAGATGTGTAGTCTGATGGAACAATTTCCAAGAATCTAGTCATTAACCCTTCATTTCTAGTGCCCACCATTCAAGCTATGTTGCTTGAGCCCTGCATGTGAATTTGGAGGTGTTTATCGCATGTGTTGTTTCAAGTGTATTTTTATAAAAGAATTAAAAAGTATTTTCTGCTGTTATAGTTAGATATGAACATGTAAGGTTGATTTAAAATTTAAAGTGAATAGCATTAATCATATTAGGGAAAGATATTTCTTAAAAATGCATAATGCTGAACAGTTTTATGTCATTAAAAACAGACTCTACAATGAATCATATATCATTGTATTGTCAAAATGTGTAATCAAAAACCAATATTATTAGTGAAGATACCAACTGTAGAGCTGGGAGGATAATCTTGTTGGATCATGGAAAAATTTGAGTTTTTTTTTTATGTTGAATTTTCTACACAAACCTGATATTTTTTTGTTTCTGTCCTGTATCATTGGTAGATAAAGGAATGGTAGGATAAGGGTGGTATTTGTTTAACTATTATTATTATTATTTATTTTTTCTTTCCATCTAGTAGAAATTTGACAACAACGTGAATTTTTGCAGGGTATGCATTTAATGTACGAGCATCTAGCAATTTTAGATGATTTGCGCAAGCGGCATGTGTGTCTTATCCAAGGAACTGCTGCGCTCAAGGATGATATATCAAAGTTTAAGGTATGCAATTTGAAAATTAATGACACATTAATGAGTATGTAGAAATGATCATGGATAAAGAATATATTCTGGAAAATCTTCTATTCCAGAACGATATTGCTACAAAAGTGGAAGCGGTTTTATCTCGTACTCCTTTGACTATTCGTCCAAAAAGGACTCCAACTGACTTAGATTCTGAGGATCCAACTTGTGAATCTTTGCCACCACCTATTGTTCCTCAGGTATGATCCTGTGGTTGGATTGTGAATCTCACTTCATTGCAACTTGTGCAGAAAGAAGCATTTTGAAATGCTATATTATTTGAAGTGTTACTGGTATTATTAGCACCTAATTCTGTCCAATTTAAAATTTGTTAGTTTATAACAAAATACACAATCTTTAAATATGTTGTAATGTAATAGTGTGCAAATAATTAACAAGTTTTCATACTTGTATTCTTAAGAGAATATTTATTTGAAAAGGTCTTGTATTAACATTTCATTTCATAATGTGTTTCAGATAATTGCTCCTCAAGTTGGAAGTGATGCTATTAGTCAGAAAATTCTTGTCTCAGAAACTGAAAGCAGTCAAGAAATAACATCCAGGCAAGACCTTTTTTTACCCAGTAGTACTAGTAGTATACCCCAATCCTCCTCACAAGATTATTTATCCCCTTCACCAGTTTTTGGTTTGAGCAACAGCTTTGATGAGCTTGCTACTCCAGATGAAATATATGCTGCCCAAGAAAGCCTGAGTTTTGTGCAAGGTCTCACTGCTGTCAACTATGACATTGACTTATCTGACTTAAGTGCGGACAATAGTTATGCTGAAGACCTTGCAATAACAGACTCTATCAAACCAGATGTGTCATTACCTTTAGAACCTAAGATGAATGAAGATGTTTCTTCTTCCCTCCTAGACACAAATGAATCACCAACAGCTGGAGGACTACTGCCTTCTCCTATAAAACCTGTTTTATCAGAAGAGTATAAGGGATTTTCAGCTCAAGGTTGGCAGATTCCTAGCATTCCCTGTAACACAGGTGACAGCTTGCCAACTATATCATCTCAGTCAGTTGTTGCTCATTCAAGTGAACCCATTTCATTACCCTTAACAAACTCTGAAAGAAAAGATGACAAAGTTGCTTCTGAGATCAATGATGCAAATTCAGTGTCTGGACTACCTGTAGAAGGAAGTGGTAGCTCTAGTCAGATGGAAGACACATTAGTGAAAGCTCTCAGTGGGGTAATGAGTACCTTTGATAGACTTTTCTAAATTGAAGTTAGTGTTGTACATACTGTGATAGTCATATGCACTGTGAAGCATTGAGTGGCACAGTCATATTTGTGCAGTTTATCTATTGAGGTTTATAAACAATGTAGAAATTGAAGCAGGAGATATGTGATGTTATTGTGATAATGTTTATGCAAGATATATTTTAAATTAAATAAGCTTATTTTTTAGATCAAGATAAATATTTTGTGTTTCCAGTTTTTAGTATCATAAAAAGTCATGCAGGTTCTTAGTATTTGCATCATGTAAATTCACATTTTCTGAAATATTTGCTTTGTAATCACGGTTTTAATTCATAGACATTTGTCTGGTATTTTTTTATGCTTGTCACAGCCCTAAGCAATATATGAAATACCATATTATTTTCATGAACATTTTGGAAATGTGTTGTAGCTATGTTGTGCAGCCACAATTGTTAAGGTCATAATTGATATTTTGTAAACATAGTGTTTCATTATTACACATGGGCCTCCACTAGGTGCTCTTATAAAAAGTAGTGGAACCCTTCCTTAAAGTACAAACTAAATATATTAATGCAAATATGTACATCTTCTTTGTCATGTATATATGCCAACACTTGCAAGTTTTGTATTTTGTACTTTCATTGATAGAGATTGCTGAAAATAGTCACATCATATTACCAATTACTTTCAAATTTGTCTGACACTAATAATGAATGCAACTACTCAAATACAAGAAAATTCACTGTAAGGTGCACAAATATTTATTAAAGCAACTTTTATGAAAGAGGAAGTACAATATACTAGTTTGTTGGCATTATTACAAAAATAATTACAGAGTTAGTTTCACACGATTTGTCTGACAAGGTACATTGACCGAGCCTCAGAAAAACCTCCAGAAAAAACAATCTGAAATTTGGCTTCAAATTGTCTATGCATTCATATTTTGTTTTCAGAAATCTTGTAATGCTTGACTAAAACCTCTTGCTAGTAAGGTGCTAAATTATTCTTTTAATAATATCAAAGTTAAAATCTTTTGTTTCATTGTTGTTTGTTGAATGTTACAGATAAAAACATTCATAATGAAGATAGAGTTGAACAACAGAGGACTATTTGATGCCAAAGTTACATGGGAAATGTTTATTATACTACTATTGTTCTTTTGAAATGTATTACCAAAAGTTGGTGTATTATTCTAGTCCTATAAAAGGAAGCAAAATCTTTATACTATGTACAGAAACTAACATTTATTACAGAATACAGCTCCTTTCTAAATAAGAATTTCACATTGTTCTGAATCACATGGAAAGGTTTGAATGTGTATCTTGAAAATAAAAGCCATCAGATGTAGAAAATTGTTATTTCTTTTCGGAGTGTTTGGTAAACACTACTTGTCTTCAATCTCTTTAAAACTAGAGATGCTACAATGTTACATACTTTCTCACATTGCTGGGAACAGATGCATAATATAATATTGCAACTTCTGCCCTACTAACCCTTCTCAGTGATCACCTGAAAAGGTCCAAACTAATTCGAAAGCAGCACCTGGGGTACATATCTGCAATTATTTCAATTGTCAAGAACAGGAGTAATTTCTTACTTTCATTAAAAAAATAAAGAAAATGTTGTTTTATGATATACATTAAAAAATAAATACATTGTATAATTTTGAAAAAATCAAAGTGGTGTTAATATCATGTTCCTCCATGTACTTACTGTACAAATATGTTTAAAGAAAAAAATTTGAGCTGTTTTTGAGAAAAGGTCATTTGTTCTTTTCTGAAAATGCAGAATTTTGAGTTAATTTCCACAGAAAAGTTTTGAGATTTCAAGAAATTTAGTTTCTTGGATATATAACATTTTATCACACCTACAAAACTGAACAAAATGTTTTGAAATGTGGTCTTAATACCTGCAAATATATCACTACAATGAAAATGGATTGTGTATAAGTTCTAGTGAACATATGTGCCAATGTATTAAGGAGGAAGACATCTTAATAAAAATGGCTGAACTCTCTGAGAATTTGCTACTTTCAATTAACTAAAACCAAGGAATATCTTTTATTAAATAAAGTTAGTGTTAGTGAATCATAAACAAAAATGGACTCGTGTGGAGAGATCTTCATGTTAAAAACTAGTCTTCAGAGGTTATATGCGGGATGTGACCATTCAGTAGAATTGTAAAATATTGAGCTTCTGGCAAAATTGGTGAAAAAAGAAAGGAACCCTTCTAGCTTCCACCAAACAAAAAGAAAAGTGTTATGTACTATTACCCTGGGATAATAAGAAATGGAAATCTGTATTGAAAGATAGCAGGAAATGCAAAAGATAAGTACAGTTGAGAATGTAGAGGAATAATGGTCCATTAATAAAAAAAGCAATTCTGAAATTACAGGTAATTCAGTTGTAGACATGCTCTGAGAAAGAAAAAGAAATTGTCTGGCTTCGAGCTAAGTATTCTATTTTGGTTAAAATCCATGTAATAAATTTGATCTGAACATGTGAGCATCTTCTCATTCTATTATTGTCGTATACATGTCAGTAATACTTTTAAAAATTTAGCAAATTTACTATTTTTGAAATACATCTTGTTTACAAAGGTAAAACAACACTATTTCTACTACCTCATTTTTATGACTCTCCCTACCGCAGCACCATTGAATTTACAGCAATAAATATTTTACGAATAGATGTAAAATAGCCTATCAACACAAAATGCAATTAATGCACTTCTTTGATATCTACTAGAGACAAGTCAATTTTTTATTTTTTTTACCACACCGGTAAAATTGAGAATTAATTGAAGTTACTGTACTACTTTATGTACAAAACTTCGGTTTTGGTTTATAAAATAATTGGCAAACTTTTTTTCAGACATCTGAAAAATTCAACTAATTCTACAAAAGATACAGCTCAATCATTTTGTATTTTATTCATCAAAATGATCTCATTAAAATGTTACATGTTGGTTAATATTTTTTAATTCTTCATTGAAATATTTACTTTTAGAGTTGAGGGAAAATAAATTGCAATTGTGTTTCCCCAAAAATCTAGTGTGATTATTTCATAAACATGTTTTGACATCAGTTCAGAAATGTCAAAATAAATTCTTTTTTGGCGCATTTTATAGTTTATTTCAATATGTCAATAAACTTTTGAGAAGAAGGCAAAAAATGTGTTTTCATTCAGAGATATGTATAAGCATTTTGAGCATTATGAAACATGTTCATAGTAGCAAAGTATATTAATTTGGTCAACTGCGCATAATAGCAAGGCAAAGCACAATTCAATCTTCAATAAAGTGTTATTTGGTTTTTAGAACCAACTTGTGAAATTCTTTATTAAAGATTGATTAGCATAATTTTAAGAAATCAAGAATTAATCAATGTCAGGGAGGAATGAACACAAATTGTGTAAAATTATCATTATTTGTTTTACTCAGAAAAATTTTACATGGCAATTTCATTAAGGTGTTGCATAATTGTATAAAAGTTATACAGGTAATTAATATACATACTGAAGTTCCTAAATCTAAATGCAATATAATAAACGCATAGTAACAACTTTCTGACCATAATCAGCCACTCACATTTTTGTTATTTTATTAGGATACATTTTCTTCACAAAATTATATTTTGTTCATGTCAACATGAAAGCAAATCGTTATCGCTTATGGAAATTCATATTTTTATACACTGCAAAAGCACTGTCAAGTTGAGCTTAATCGTTTAAGCTATCATCGCAATACACAAGTACTGTCATTGCTATGTTCTGAACCCAATTTAAATCGCAAGCTAATGCTCAATACTTAACAGTATAAACTACTGGACCAATTCTGCATTTTATTACAATTTATCAAAATGACTAGATTGGCGTTGCAGGTTACCTTTGTCTGTCACAAATTCAGTATATTCGGGATTGAAAACTGACAATGCACAGTTTAATGAAACAATTTATATTTATCACAAAGTCATGCTTCATGTTCATCTGCCATACCATTTAAGCCATTTAACTGATGGTCATCTAAATTAATAACATGGACAGCAGGCGCCAGACACTGAATTTCTAGGACCGAAGTAAAGCGTCTAGAAGGTATAGTTGTGGCCGTTGTCATGCTTTCAGAGAATCTTCTAGGAACTAGGCGGGTCTATGAAAGAAAAAAGAAGGTAAATTATTTTGAAACTTAGTATTAAGAGCGAAGTAGTACTTAAAACCTTTATTTACCTGGAAGGTGACTTCTTCGACATATCGCTTCTTCGTCGAACCCACTTTCATGTACACCGTGCTTGAATAGTGAACGGGTACGGGTCGAGGTTCCATCCAGCACGTAGTCCGAAATCTGTTGGCAATGCAAATAAAAGGAATCATCTGAATGAAGAAACTGGTTTTAGACGCCAATTATGGACATTTAAAAAGAAAAATAGCCCCAAGTGTTTTACCGGCGAGTGTGATGCAAGTGATCACTACATGTATTTTCAAAACAAATTGAAGGCGTTATCCACTTATCCACTCGTTTGCAAAGGGGTTTTAGGCGGAGCACCTGTGTCTCTAGATGCCTAGCACAAAACAAATGAACTGAAGGATCTCTCATTTTTAGGAGTGCTTCAAAAATTACAAAAGTTCTTTGGAAATTCTTAATTAAAAAGGAACTGTTTGCTATTGCCCTTATACCAGCCGGCCCAGTTCATTACAGTCCACGTGATCAACACCGTTGTGTCAAGGCTGGGCCGGCTGCTCAATTCCCAAGCTTCCGTTGGCAAGTAAACCAGACTACTACTATAAGGAATGATGTCTTACTAATGCAATAGATGCTCCGGCAACTGCGCTCTCTTCGGCGGCCAGAAGTACTACTGTAAAGTCGAATTGATATTCCAATTAATCTGGGAGCACGGTGGCTACTGTGACGTTGAAGAAAAGCTTGGCTAGTGATAATGAAACATGAGGAAAAAGCAGAGGAGACTGTCTAGATGTCCACGTGCCTAGTTCACTACTACTGTTTTCTGATGCTGTTTTTTTTTATATCAAGAACATGTGTTTAATATACCGAAGTATAGCAAGGGTAAATAATGAAATTTTCATTTTTCTGTAATTTATTTTGTGTGCCTTAAGTTCTTGTTAAACATTAGTTGCATTTTTAATTTCAATTTGTCTTTTTTATTATTTGATATGCTTACCAGACTTCCAGTAGATTAAATCACTGGCTGTTCATTAAAATCGAAATTTGTCATGCTGCTTTTTCGACTGAATTTCAAATTCATTACCACAAGACGTAAGAGAAAAACAAACTGGACGTTGGTACCGGAAATGTTTCCAAAGAGTATCTACGCCGCCAACAAATTTCTCACCTGTGCGAGGAATGGGACACGGAAGTGCGGCTGGAATCGGAACAGACTGATAGCACCTCTTCCGATGTCGTTCTCGACGCCATGCGGAACAACGGGCTGCAAAATGCGATACGTGAATATTAGTGAATGGAAATGTGAGTAAAACTTTTGTTTTTATGAGTATTTATTTTAGCAAATTTCATTTTGCTATAAAATGACAAAATTTAAGTTAGCCTTCTGTTAAATATTATTTGCTGTTCGCCTCGTTTTCCCAGGACAATCCTCTTTTTTGAAAACAAAATCTCACTGTTCTTACTTTTCCCCTGGGTCTCAAATTTTATTTGCTAATCCTAAAAAAATTTTAAAATGTTGGTAGAAAAGTTTCACTTCTGTGAAAAATCAAATGCAGCAGAAAATGAAGGATATGAAACTTGAAAAACTTGAATTCTATTACTCCTCCATTGAATTTATTCGAAACAAAAACGAAGAACGACAGAGTGGAACGAGAGAGTTCTTGTTCAACAATTTGAATGTAGATAATTGAACTTCTTGAAAATGGCCTCTTAATTTTGTAAATTTGTGCGAAGTTTGTTTCATCGAAGAAAGGTTATTTTTTTTTTCAAAATATAATATTGTGCCCAAATAAAGAATGTTTGAGATGCATATTAGTTTGGTGTGAAGAACTGCAGAAATTAGATTTGCAAGAGACTTCAGATTCTTTTCAAAGAATGTTAAAAGCAATTTGTCAATGTATGACTAGGTTACGCCATTGTAAGTCAGTATCTTCATTAAATTCCAGGAATTTCCTTTTCTGTTATTTTATTTATTTTGGAAAAATAACATTTTTTACAACAAAGTATTTTAGCCAATAATACGTTGTGAATTACCGTTGCACAGATTCATGGTTGTTGTGTGTTAATTGTGGAGGCCGAATGCGGGAGCTTCGTCACAAACGTGGATACGCGTAGCAAAATGCCAACGGCGCATAAAAGTATATGATGCAAATTTGTTAGAGATATCATTCTCGATGTTCTCGGTAATTAACATGAGCGTCGTCAGGGGGTGGGGCGGCTGCGCATGCGCGTCCCCCAATACTTATTTGGAATACTGGAAGGAAATCCCTGATAATTTGTGCCTTATCTATTGAATCGCCCTGACCAATAATTTGGTTTTGGTGACTCCCATGCTTGGTAACGATTCAACTACTTCACGCGGGATACGATAACAGCCCGAAAACATGAATATTCGCACAATTTGCAGTACTCTGTCATTAGGACTCTACTTTCGCGTAGATAGTTGAAATTGAAATGAAAAACTGACACTTCTGAAAATGAATGTGAAAGTAGAATAAATAAGACGAAATACCCACAGCTTTTCATTTGGACTGATTTAGCATTGAAATATATCCCCATTTTAAAATGAGACTGCAATTTAGTCACAAATTGCAGATATTCACCCGTTTTAAAATCTCTAAAGAGCTGAATTCGGGTACATATTGTTTACTTGCATTTAATTTTAAACACACAATGCTTGGAATTTTTCTTTTTGTCGTACTAAAATAGCTTCTAAAACTGCAAAATTCATAATTAAGAGTTTCCAGACAGAGCAGTGAAAAGTGAAGCAATTCTCACTTTTTGGTGACAATTTTTTTTATTTGATTCATTTTAGTTTTGTTTAATCATAATAAGGAAACAATAAAATATATCTATAATTTTAAAATTACAAAGTTAATAAGTTTCAGTTTTTGTTCCAAAAACGCGGATATACTAGTTAGATAATGTGGAGGTCCAGAACCGGATTACACTTTTTTATGTTTCATCTGTTCAGGCAAGATGCGTTTTATGAATTGTTTTTTTTTATGCGAACGATAGAATGAATGGATAAATGAAGGGTTTTCCGTAATGCAAGCGAAGAAAATTGTAATTCTCGCGATGATTGAATGAAAGAAACAATTGCGGGAACCAGTGATATGCTCTTGTGGGCCTGACCTTCAGCAGCTGATCTTCGTATTTATTTATTTATTTATATACGTCAAAAACAGTTGAAAACTTTGTATGACGTGTATTAAAGACGATTGCGCGAAGCACTAGTTTGCCTATTTCCTTTCCTTTCGTAGGATGAATACATTGTTTTATTATTCTCCTTCATTAGCAAATTTAATCTCGAGAGAACGTAATATTCTTAGTTTCGCGAGTGAATATTGGGACTGCTGATAACTGTTATTAGTGTCTATAAGTAAATTCTTAATACCAAAAGAGAAGACAGCCATGACCGTGGCTGATTCGACTACCAACATGCGTTTTTCTGACTACAAGGAAACCATAGCCCCCAATAACGTAGAACAATATCCAGTAAGCGGAACTTACCCTAACTTTGCCTAGAAATATACTTTTCCTAGCAAAGATAAAGCTATAATCATTGATGCACAAGACTGATTAAGAATTAAAGAATACATAAACAAGACTGCATCAATAGTTGATTTCAGTTACAAACGATTCATATCTCGTTTATCCAATCTGCATTTTTCTCTCGAGCCCTGAAATAGCTAAGAGACAGATGAACAATAGTTCGTGGAAATAGATAAACATAGACTAAGAGTAAGACCCTTAATTAGTAAGCATGTCAGTCATCATCTGTTTGCCCAGTAATACCCCACAAAGAAATTAAAACACCTACTAAGATTTCCGTAGTCAGAGCAGGCATATCATCAGAGCCTGGGTTATCTCATATTTTGAGTTTCAGAAGGCAAGTGTTTATAGATCCCGATGATGTCATGAAATTACCTGGTTTTACATTATTTTTTTTATGAAAAAACAACATACAGAATTTATTTTTCTACTGAAACCAGCTCTTGTTTCCTATGCAAGCAAGAGGGTCATATTGCCAATCACTGTCCCTCTAAATCTACTGAAAATATTGCAATGAGAATAATTTCTGAAGATCCTGAAAGCTCTCAAACAAAAAGTAAACCAGAACCACATCACTACCATTTTTGACAAAATCACTGATTCATATATCAAGAGAAAACGTAATGGTAAATACCTAGATTAATAAAGAGAGGCTTACAAGAATCACGTGGATGGGATTTGCTTATTTGCTTTATTGTAATCTAAAAGTCTGGGAGCTATATGATGTATTTCCCCAGAATATTATGCCGCATCTCAGGCAAGAATGAACATTTGCGAAATATACACTGAGCAGTATGGAGACTGACTGAAAGAATTTTGAAAGCGTAGAACTTAAAAACTTAATTTAGTATTAAAATTCATTTAAATGGACTGAATTTGAGTGAGTCGAAAGACCTAAAAATTTTGTTACCTTAACATCAGTCAATGGCTCACCGTTCATTTTCAGTGGAGTACAGAGCTGTTTATTTGAAATGGAAAACTACATTGAAATCTTTTTCTTTTCATTTACTATTAATTTATTACGCAACCAATTTGAAATATCTAATATTGTATTATTTACAGTTTCGTTATTGCAAAGAATATTCGTATTATCTGCAAAAAGAAGTTCTTCTCTTTCTAAACAAGGGCATATCGTTTACGTATAGTAGGAAGAGAATAGGGCCTAAGTGGCAAAGAACCGGAAAGGTATGTACGTAATGTTCCATTATTCTAGTAAGGTTTTTCTACTCTCTGAGATCGTTCTTTAAGAAACAAACATAACCAATCTAGAGCAATACCACGAATTCCATTCGAAGATAATTTTGAAAGTAAAATGTTATGATCAATTATGTCAAAATCTTTTGAAAGATCTAAAAATATTCCAATAGGTGTTTCGTGTTGAACCATGGATGAGGCGACGTCTTAAAGAAATAAAATATGACTGTTTCCATAGATTTCGATTTTCGAAACACTTGTTGGCAATCTGAAAACGCGTAGTGTTTACTAGTATATTGCTATTGTAGCAACTCTAGAAATAGAAATAAACCATCAATTAAATTCATATGTTAAAACCTCCGCAGCCGAATTATGCTCCCTGCTTGCAACCTTCAAGCTAACTAAATCGCTAAACTCCCAGAAGTTCGTTGTTTTCTCCAGTTCTCTCGAAGCAATATGTACTATAAAAAGCAACCATCCTAAAAATGAAATGGTAATTTTAATCCAGGAACTGTATTATAATCTAACACAGTCAGGAAAAAACATTTTATCGTGGATCACTATCGTGGATCGTTGGTGTCATCAACTGCGTAACCTCTCTCTACGAAGAAATGATCAGCCCTGTAACTACTGCAGGTGCTCCA